TTGCAGCTATATAATCTTCACTATGGTATATTACAGCTGGCGGGCCTTATGATCACAAGCTGTTTCCAACCTATACAGCTCACTATTAACCATTTATCCAATCAATACATTGTAACTACCTTTCAGATTGACAACTGTGTTGTTGAGAAAGACCTAACAAAGCAAAAAATCATTCAGAGATAAGAAAAGAAAGACATTATAACACATCTCAAGTCTCAGGAACATTGAAGAAAATTGGTTGGACTATCATGGGGAGCAGATAGAAAAAGAAGTGCAAGGTGCTTGAGAACCGTGTAAAACAGAGAGGAATGTCATGTAGTGATACTGTATCATGTGATCAAATGTATTCATCATTTAATTTTAGAGTTTAATGGTTGCTAATTTTTTGTGTTTAAAATTCATTTAAAGAGGAAATAATGTGCTCATTTTCAGGTTCTTGTGTATTTTCTGCCTCCACTGTGACATGTCTCTAAGCTTTAAGATTTAAAAAGGTCTTTGTTTTTCTCATGATGCCTGAAGAGAAAAGACAAAACTCCCTCTGGAGGGAACTTTGGGATTTTAGCCTTTGCAGACCATTTACATGCTCAACAATCTATAATAGGGCCTTTCTTTAAATGATGTGACTTTGCCGTTAAAAGCCTTTTTGAAACACTTTATTTTACAGCCTAAAAATTATAGTGTGATTGAGTGTGATAAGAAAAGTACCATTTCAGCTCTTAGACGTTTTATTTTTATTTATTTTTTTCAGGCAAGCCTGGAGAACACTTCCACCGGAGGAAACTCAATTGTGTTAAGAGTGAATCCACGAGCTGTCAGTCAACTCTCTCCCCACTCTGTGAAGCACCTGGGGACGCTGCAGTGTTCGTCCTTTAAGCGTAAGAATGTCATTTTCGAGCCTGAGACCTGAAAAACAGGCTCAGGGTTTAACAGAGTGCTAAGAAGTGTTTGAACTTTAAATCCAAAGGAATATTTCCCCCAACAAGTAGAACGGCGCTGGGATGAAGGGAAACAGAAATGTTAAAAGACAGTTTATTTGGCAACACCACAGAGGTCTCTCCTCAGGGGTTGAGAGCAAAAATGTAAACATGGTGAAACATTGATCACTGAGCATCAAGCTGCATATTTGAAGATATACATTTGAATCACAGACACATGTAATCACTGACTATTATGACCAACAACAATCAGATATCTTTTACATGTAATCATATAACATTATAGCAAAATAGATTGAAGATTCACATTTAATGGACATAAAATACATATTTACAAGATAAACCACATTCTCATCTGAGTGAAACACTTTAAAATCACACAGCATTTAGATGAATTTCTGAAAACATTTCACAAGATCATTTATTTCATGAATATCCTTAACTGAAATGTAACATGCAATGAAATATAAGCACCAACTTTAATGCAAATGGCATGTCCATTTCATTATACGTGTTAATTATTTCGAGAAAATATCCTGATGAATATTGTGCTGTGGCTCCTGAATACAATTTTTGACTGAGAAAATAAGAAACATTGCCACTTAGGCAAACAGTGTTGTGTGCAAATGCTAAGGTCAATGCTGTCCCAAACAGGTCTGAACCAGGCCCGGCGCCACGAGGGGCCAAAAGGGGGCATTGCCTCGTCAGTTGTATTCTTTGCCCCCTCACTTTGAGCATCATTCATCCATCAAAAAGTACAATAAATGTCACAATTATTAAATAACTTTAAATAATCATTTTCCCCAATTCACGTTACTATGTTTAGATCAGATATATGGGCAAGTCAAGCAACGTGTAAAAAAGCCTCAACCCCAAGTGAGCTTGTAGTCTTAATTAATGTTAGCATCTGTGCTTAGCTGTAAACACAGTCGGATGGGTGACCAAAACGCCCCCGTTTTCCGGGCAAAGTCCCCGTTTTCGGTGGGTTTTTGAATGTGCGTTAAAAAACTTAGAGCAAGGTGAAATCAAATGTTACATGTCAGTAAAAACAGAGTAACAAGAGGTTTATCAATTCTTAAATGTCCCCTCCTCGACTCCTATCCTCGTGTCTTAGTCCCGCCCACAGGAGATGCGAGCGGAGGACTGAGGAGGGGAACCGAGGAGAGAGGAGGGGAAGCAGCAGGGGGTTAGAGAAATGAGAACTCCTCTCCTCTGAGCGGTCATCTTAAAGAGACGTCCATTAATGATGACAGGAGGCACAGCAGCCTGATGGACAGATGTGTTCATGATGACTTACATATTTACTTTGATTCATTGACAGTGCGGTATAATGAGACAATAACAGGCTACAGATGCGGACACACACACACACATATATTTATATAAATATATACAATTTCAGCCCCCTCAGTCATTTCATCCTGGAGCCGGGCCTGGTCTGAACAGTAAAGTCGGTGCATTCTCTTCAATGGCCACCACGTGCTACTAAAAAGTGGTTGAAAAGATTGTATAGAAGTCAGTGAGAAAATGACACTACTTCTTAGTTGATTTAATACATATGTAAACATATTTTACTCAAGAGTTTATGGTCTCAAGTGATAGCTCGGCGTATACTTCAAGCCTCATTTTGTCAATAAGGATCCCATTTAGAGTACAATAGACATAAAGAAGGATATGCTTTATTGGGTGGCTACCCTGAGGTTGATGAGACGCTACCACGTCGTCAGGTTTGGGTGTTCGTCCCCATTTCCAAATGTTAACCCTGTCACAATTTGTTTTCAGCGCATTAATTGTAACATTGTCTTGTTTAGTGTCCGGTTGTACTTGCTTCCCCCCTCCTTTGACACTTACTGTTCCTTCTTTTTATATACAGTCTTTGGAGGGGAGCAGGGATTTCTGGTATGAAAAAACCTAGAGAGGTGACCTTGATGAAAGCCACAAACATAAACTTGTATGTCTATGTCCAACCCAGTCTCACGGCATTTCGTGTTATAGTCGCGAAATTCATTTCATCTATTGATTCGTGTTCACCAACACGATTTTCGCATTTTTTTCGTGTCACACAGAACGATTTTAAAAGCAATGTATTTCTATTGGTAGTATGTCTCGTGCCTGCACGTCTTTTTGTCCGGTCGGGTCTTGGAATACCAGAAGCTGTGTGGTTCACAAAAACATTTTCTATCCCTTTTATTTTAAATTGTATAATGTCGGAGTTTTTTTGCCGTCCGCGAGGAAAATAAATGTGGCAAAGAGCCTCAGAATACTGAAATCTGTATTTTTTTAAATCTGTTGTTCCTTCTAATTTGTTATTATTTACATTGGTTTTAAAATCGTTCTGTGTGACACGAAAAAAATTGCGAAATCGTATTGGTGTCAATAGATTCATTTTGTGACTATAACACAAAATGCCGTGAGACTGTGTCAGAGTACATGCAGATGTTTAGTAGGTATATTGATAACCATGTTAACCATTTTAGTTTAGGTGTGTTTTTATGCTACCATCTGCTACTTACAAATAAACATACATGAGGCTGAGCCAGTGATTCACCACCAACCATACATCCAATGACACACTTAATCCAAACAAGATTACTGAGCAATTGTTATAAAAATAACGTCAGATAAATAGACGTAAAACAGAATGTGTTTCTTTGAAGAGAATGCTAGCTATAAAAACACATGTTGGCACAATGGCACTGGCAGCAGGGTGGAAAATATCTCTGGAACCATCTGACCAGTATAATATTCATTTGTATATAATACTATAATTATAATGTACTATATACCCGGGCTTCTCAACATTTGAAAGGTATGGCCGTTATCTGAAATTCTCAAAAGACCACCTTCCCAAATAAATAAGGGAAAATAACACAATATAACGAATAAACTGAGCAGTGAGTATGTGTTATGCTCCTGTGAGCTCCAACTATCGTATTCAATTATTAATCGAAATGTAATGTATTCAGGGTCATATTTCCTTGGATATTTTACTCGCGTTCAATTGTCTCCCATATTAATATTTCATTAAAAAAAATATATATATACAGTATTTAGCATTCAGAGAACGTTGGATAGGTAACACGTTTTCTCTACCTGATGTGTCACGTTGCTGATACTTTTATTCAACTTTTATTTATGTGAACTCTTGAGCAAATGTAGGTATAAAAAAGACCAGCGGCAGCCAAGAAAAGCTGCAATAAATGACAATTGGACAATTAAACTGTTAAAGAAATACAAAACCAACCTTTCCATTGTTGTAGGTTCTAGTCAGACACTAAATCTATTTGCAAGAGAATATTCTAGCCACTAATGCATATTGAATTGACCATTTTAAAATGTAACTGTATTACCTAAACCTTTTTTTGTACAATAAACTGCCCCCATCCAGGGAGTGATTGGTCAAAAACTGACAACGTTGAGTACATCAACCTCATGCGATGTTCTCACTTATCTCAAAATGATTGTTTCATGTAAACGACCTTTTAAGCACCAATGCTATATTAGTTTGAAAATTAGCTGCTTACAACAACAAAAAAGAGCCCAGAATGTAGAACTCTTTTTATCCTATTTTACCTGAGTACCCAAATGACCTTGCTCAACCCTATGTGTCGAGAGTCCAATTGGAAAAGCTCCTGGTGCTCCCAATGCTCATTCAGAATATGGCTGAGGTTTATGGGAATAGTTATTGTGCAGGTAGTTGGTTGTACACCGAAGATATGGGAAAATGTAAGATTGACCTGATGATGCAACAAAAGAAAAAGTCAGGGATCACCAAAAATATTACAATTCATCTCCTTGGAACCATTCATGCATTCAACAGTTGTGAGGACATGTCACTCAAAACCACAAAATGTCATCTTCATATTGACAGGAGAAGAAAGGTTTGGCGATCAATAGGATTAATCCTCAGGGAACCATGAATGCCATGCATCTTTTGTAACGATTGAGATGTCAACATGATTCGGTGGATATGGGAAAACTTTGACCTGCTGGTAGCGCTAAAGAAATCAGTCAACGTATTCATCTTCTGGAAACCTGAATGTCTGTACAAAAAGTAATGGGAATCCATCCAGTAGTGTCAGTCTGGACCAAAGTGGTGGAACAACCAATGGATAAACCACCATCTCTAGAACCACAACACTAGCAAAAAAAAGTAAAACGTTCAATGTTTTTAAAGAATGTGTAAAGTAATACCGACTTGATAGCAAGTGTTCCATTGTAATATCCCTGTAAAGAATGATTGTGTGCGTTTTACTTCAAAAATATTGTCTCACTATAATATACTGTAACTACACTGACGTCTTCTTCACACTTATTAGACAATGACAATACCGTAAGTCTTTCTTGTGCGAAAACCATGCTGTCCTGAGGTGAGTTTAAGAGTCCGGACGTCTGCTCTCTGACAGACTCTTGAGGCTCATGTACAGGGAGCTGACCATGGTGGCCTCCTCCTGGATGGACTCCTTCAGGTCGGGCTGACCCGCACACATCAGGGCCACCAGGGTCTTTGGCAGCTTCCCGCTGAATAGCAGGTAGATGACGGGGTTCGCACAGCTGTTCAGACTGGCCAGCAGCATCAGGATGGTGAAGGTAGCAGCTGGAAGAAACAAAAGTACAATATTTAACTTTCCCTGTCATTCCTTTTGGAGGTAACATTTTAATTGCGATTACATTTGCAGTTCTGTGTGAGGGAGGGAGGTGTAAACAATTGGCAACACTCATACTCCTGTGTTTGGTTTTTGGCACTGTACCTATTTCAAAATCAAAGTTGCTATGATGTTGAAGAGAAAGTTAAATAAAGTTTTACGAAAAAATCTCTGGGGCAGACTATACATTTATGATTTTTTAAGACATACGAGAACATATCTGTATAGTTAAAAATCCTGAAACACGGCAAGAATAAATATCAGTGCATACATTGTGAAAGAGAGAAGGACATCAGAAAAATAAAGTTTGTTGTACTGTGTTTGGTGAATGTTTTATTTGCCAGTGGCAAAGAAAGAAAAAAAGGAAATACATATAATGGACAATAAAGTATTCTGAATCTGAAAAGTATGTTCAAAAATAAATAGAAAAGCTGGTTTAGCTATAGATTACAGCTTATTCAATGTGTCTGGCTAGCTACATATTTATTTGTTCATGTTGTGAGATACCAAACCCTGTCCTTTTTCTCTGAGCAGGTGCCTCCTTTTCTGAACCTACCCCAATTTATTCCACATTAAGTCAACATTAATACTGATGATAACTTATTAAAACTCTCATTGGCTGTACAGCAGCGGAAGTCAATCAGATAGTGATATTTGGATTTCATAATGGGATATCTCTATTGATTGAATCATCTTTACTTTGTATCCTCATGCCTTATCTTGTGTCTTTTACCTGTAGCCTACCAAAAACGAAATAAATGTTGTTCATGTTGTGAGATCCAAAACCCTGTCCTCTTACTCTGAGTGGGCGCCTCCACGTCCCACACGGACCAAAGCTGCACGGTGAAGAAAGGCCCCCAGCAGAGGATGTAAGCGAACACGATCACCACGGTCATCTTCACCGTCTTGACCCTCGCTTTAGACACCCCCGCCACGCTGCTGGCCCGCGAGGACAGCGGCTTCCTGACCTTCCCTGCGCCCTGCTGCGTCTTCATGTGGAAGTTAATGTACACAGTGCGGCAGATGCGGACCTGACACACGATCACCATGAGAATGGGCAGCACGAATATCACCAGAGTGGTCCACGTCACGTAGGCTCTGGGACCCCACGGTTTAATGAACTGAGCCCAGCAATCGTACACACCGGGGGCCACCTCCACCCGGGAGAAGATGAAGATCTGCGGGAGGCTACCGATGAGAGAGGCGCACCAGGCGGCGCAAACTGGACCGTTCCAGCGTGCCCTGTGCCTCTGGAAAGTCACCATGGGTTTGCAGATGGCTTGATATCTGTCTATCGTCATCACTACAATCATATAAGAAGATGCAAACATCCCGACCACCTGCAGGTACTTCACAGCGCGACACAATACGTCCGGTCCCACGAATCGGTCAGTGATGTCCCACATGAGTTGCGGGCAAACTTGGAAAAATGTAACCACAAGGTCGGCGACGCACAGGTGGAGGACGAAGACGCGCATCCTGGAGAGCTGCTTCCTCCGCTTCCACAGCACCAGCAGCAGCCCGAAGTTTAGGATCCCCGCGGTGATGAAGATGATGGACAGGAGAGCTATTTCCACCCGAGCCAAGCGCTCATCCCGCGGATCATCGTCAGAGAGTGCGTCCTCCAAAGTGATGTTACTGATGTTTACAAAGAACCAAGACATGCTTAAAAGTAGCCTTTATAAACCATTACAGGGTAATCCAGATGAAGTGGGGCATTTAAAAAAAAAAAAATGATAAGCAGGCAGCCTGGAATATGACTTTAAATATGACATTAAAAGGGAAATTTGTTGAAAAAATCGTTATGGCCGTTTAGTGGTAAAATTACACATGTTGAGGGTCTCCAGGCAGAGAGGGGGCTTTATATCTCCTCTCTCTGCAGGAGGGAGGAGCAACCACACACACACACACACACACACACACACACACACACACACACACACACACACACACACACACACACACACACACACACACACACACACACACACACACACACACACACACACACACACACACACCACACACACACCACACACACCACACACACACACACACACACACACACACCACACACACCACACACACACACACACACACACACACACACACACACACACACACACACACACCACACACACACACACACACACACACACACACACACACACACACACACACACACACACACACACCACACAGAGAGAGAGTTGTATTCTGCATGCACTTCAACACAACAATCACCATTTCAGTCTTTTCAATAAAAAGTACAACCTATTTATAGAGCATGTTCTTTTCAGAAATGAGGAGAAAAACCAAACTTATATATCAAATTATATAAAAAGCTGTTTCTAGTACACATTTGTCCTCATATGCATTTTGTGATCTCTTTATATGATGATGGAGAACAAAATAGGGCTACTTTAGAATGAAATCAGCAGCTCTGATCGTCAGAATTATTGTCGTGTCCGTTTTTCTCAAACTAAAACGTCTCAATCAATACCCTTCAAGAGCACAATTACAGCAGCCAAACCCTTATGGTGCGACATGACAAAAGCACGTCCACTTTCCTCCTCAAATCACGACTTTACGTGACTGAGGAGTTCATCTTTGTCCATCTGATAGCCGCTTTTCTTCCAGACGTCGCGGAGGTCCTGTAAGGTGGAGCCGATCTCCTTTCCCGTCGTGATGCCCATCCTCCGGAGGTCGTGTCCGTTGACGGGGAAGCGAGGGACGGACCACCCGCTGAGCTCCGCATGCAGCTTCTCCTCACCCTGATACTTCAGCAGCTCACACACTTTACTCTGGGTGTCCAGCTCTCGACTCTGAAAAGACACATTTGAGTTAAAGGTCGCCTATTATGCGAATTTTTCATGTCTCTTATACATCAACATGTGTCCCCTCTTCTTCATGTCTCTTCTACATCAACATGTGTCCCCTCTTCTTCATGTCTCTTCTACATCAACATGTGTCCCCTCTTCTTCATGTCTCTTCTACATCAACATGTGTCCCCTCTTCTTCATGTCTCTTCTACATCAACATGTGTCCCCTCTTCTCCATGTCTCTTCTACATCAACATGTGTCCCCTCTTCTCCATGTCTCTTCTACATCAACATGTGTCCCCTCTTCTTCATGTCTCTTCTACATCAACATGTGTCCCCTCTTCTTCATGTCTCTTCTACATCAACATGTGTCCCCTCTTCTTCATGTCTCTTCTACACCAACATGTGTCCCCTCTTCTTCATGTCTCTTCTACATCAACATGTGTCCCCTCTTCTTCATGTCTCTTCTACATCAACATGTGTCCCCTCTTCTCCATGTCTCTTCTACATCAACATGTGTCCCCTCTTCTTCATGTCTCTTCTACATCAACATGTGTCCCCTCTTCTTCATGTCTCTTCTACATCAACATGTGTCCCCTCTTCTCCATGTCTCTTCTACATCAACATGTGTCCCCTCTGTGGAAAGAGACTCAGAAAGTTTCAGGAACAAAGATTCTCTCTCTTTTTGTCCTGATCCATTTCTATAAAAACCTGTCTGAAAATGAGCTGATCAGGTTTTGGCCACTTTATGATGTCATAACGATTTTTTTACTTGTGTAACCATTAGCCAATCAGCAACTAAGGTAACCCCCCCCCCCCCTTATCACCTGAATCTCCTCCTAGAGCACCATTGAGTTCTTTTGAACCAAATGTCTCTCAGAGGGGCGTGGGGAGGGGCTCCTTACTTACATCTAAAGTAACAGACAGAGAATCAGCACTTTGGAAACAGGGCTGAAACAGAGGGGATTATGGGTAATGCTGCAATGATCTGTTTGGTGTTTCAGCCAATCAGAGACAGGCTCTGTATATATCTGAGACCTATAATATATTGATGAAAAACAGTATAATAGGGAACCTTTAAAGCCCCTGTCAGATTTAAAGTACTTCCTATCAAATTATAAGCACTATTAAAAAAGGGGGAAGTTGGTAAATATTTATTTAGAGTTCAAGACTCCTCTGATTTGTTTCATCAGGACTTTGTGAGAGTGTTTGATTGGATTTGATTGGCAGCAGTTGACACAACTGTCGTACTATTCTGAACAAAATATTCCTAATTGTTTCACAGAAATGTATGACATCTCCTTTTTTCCCCACTTCTAACACAAAGCAAAGCAAACGGCGTGTAGATATTTAAAAACCCACTTTTCATTCAGAAGTGGGCGATGGGTGGAGGTGGAAACTGTCCAGCAAGATGAAGGAAGCGAGTTACCGAGGTGTGTTTCCTGCATTCAAAGTGGGCTGGAGTCACAATTATGTTCATGTGTGGTTCAGTGGCTGATTAAATGACTTGATTATTTGTGTCCCCTGGGGAGAGCTGAACACATTTCCCAAGAGCGCAATGTCCCAATGTTAAGTCTTCAAATTGATCTCGTTTTGTCTGACAGACAGTTCAGAACGCAAACGTGCTTTGTACAGGTAACATCATAGCTGGGGAGGAAAACATGCCCATTTCATCTGGAACCCGCTGCCTTTTCTTTTACGGCCATCGAACATCGGAACATGCTTCCAGCTGAGTTTAAGACGTGCACTGACTTCCACTATTTTTCCCATGGTGCAGGAAAATGGACGTTGAGCAGCATTACTCTGACTGTATTGTGAAATGTTAGATTCAATTAATTGTAACATTATAGTTGTGCTAGTATTTATATGTTATACTTCTGTACTTTGATCTGTATTAAGTGTGATAGACTATGAAGTGTTTGTTGATTGTGTGTTTGTGATTTCTCCTTGCATTTCAAGCTAATTATTAGAGGACATAAAGCCCTCTAATTATGCTATTGTTAGCAGTCACTTCATCAACTGGCACATCACTAAGCTGATGAGAAATCGTGCCTGATAAGAATATGGTATACCAATCAATGACTACATTGTTCTGTTAAGTGTCCAAACCATAAATCTCTCCTGTCTTTTTTATAACACCACACATGTACAATTAGCATGGGCTTGTTGCTACAGAGGAGGCTTAAACTCACGTCGATGATGAAGTCAGTGAAGGGTTTCAGGCTGTCCGGCTCCTCTCTGCTCTTGCACAGCTCCTGTCTGTATTTGACCAGGAACAGAGCCAGGGTCTTCTCCTCCTTGGACACCTTCAGCCGGAGGTCCATCCTCTCCACCTCCTCTGGGCGGCGGAAGAGAGCAGCCAGGACGGTCATGGGTTTGGGAGAGTGGTCTTTGGCTTTCTGCCACACTCGCTTAATCTCCTCCACGTTGCCATCTGGAGGCAAACCTGAGGAGCAGCAGACGGGACTTTAACAAGTACAACAACACAGAATACTACATTTTGCTGTTGGTCAAAAGCCGAAAAGTCTTAATATCCTTGTAGAAATCGTCAGTGGTGAAGAAATTACTTACTTACTCATGAAGGGTAACCATGGCAACCATTGCAACCATGCGCGGGAAGTCTTCTTCGCTGCTTTTGTGGCAGTACTACAGCGCCACTTACAGGCCTGGCATATGTACTACAGCGTCTCCAGCGCTTTCGAGCGGTCTCGTGTGAACGGACTCGTTTCTGGTGCCTGTTGCGTGTGGACGGAATACTTTTTTGATATCGATTTCGGTCCGTTTGCGTTATCGTCTTCGTGTGGCTCCAGCCTTAAAGCCTGAGCAGCTGACCCTAAGGGACTTTCATTAACATCAGCCGGTAATTGCTGGAGAGCGAGGGGCTACAAAGAGCTGGAAGTGGTGTACATTAGGAAGGGACAGCACTTCGCAACACATCACTTTAAGTGGGTTTGGGACTTTTCATTTAAGGTGTTCACTTCCTTAGAGGCCAAAGCAATTTAGGAATTGGTCCCTTATATGACCAGGCTTACAGAGTGGAAGAGAGGTGATTGTCAACTCGGTGTTTATGTAGTGAAATATACTAAGCTGAACACCCATGAGCACACCCTTATGCACTGTAACAGATGAACCATACGCACAGTAGGGTTGCCAGAAACTGACCATGATCAAAATCAATTATTCGGCAGCCCTGGCGAATAATAATCGATTATTCGACCGACCCCGACCCCCCCCCCTCAGACAAAAGGAATTCCGTTGTTTTTTTTACTGGAACATGTTTAACAGTACAAACAACAAACATGCACGCATGTCATCACAACGACGTGGCCTTGAAGTGAAGTTGGTAATGGCCGGCTGTGCTGCGTCTTTCTCTGTAACCTCTTTGGCGTGCTTCGCACTCAAATGCGAACGCATTGTTGAGGTTGAGCTGTGATAGACCAACGTCTTTTCGCAGAGCTTGCATTTAACTTCCTTTGGACGTGTAAGTTCGAAGTATTTCCACGAGGAGGAACTCTTTTTACCTGCCGCTTTGTTCATCTTTAGTCGCACGTGTGAGGGAGAGGGGGGGTGGGGGCGGGGGCGGTGTGAGGGAGAGGGGGGTTGGGGGTGGGGGTGGGGGCGGGGTCAGTGTGTAGCGTGATGCAGCAGCAGTCTGCTCTGCACGCAGGCTTCCTCCAAGTTTACAGTAAAACAAACTGGTGGTGTGACCAATGGCCATTTACAATTATTAATACTATTACTATTATTAGCATTAGTCGATATTTCGGTTGAAACTAAGCCAGAAAAAAAATAAAATAAACATAAATAATAATAAAAAAATATATAAATAAAATAGATTTTTAAAAATAATATTCGATTATGGAGACTGTAACGAATAATCGAATAATCACTGGCATCCCTAACGCACAGGCATATCAAGCTGGAATACACCACAAACTCTGCAAGTGTAGGATTTGGGATTGCACCAATGACTTATTAGCATGCTACATGTTCTCTCAGAACATTTCCAAACAGGATTGGAAGAGACGTTCCAACAGGTTGGGACATGTTGACCAAACTTGGCCAAATGCAGTAGTTTGAAACCGCCATGTGCATCCATACTGTAATCGAAAAACATCACTAAAAATGAACACGTTCCGATTTCCTTTTTTTCTAGTGTTTAAGTGGAGGTGAGCAAACTGCCCTCTGCCCCAGCGTCATATAAAAGTGTCTATTCTTTTCTTAAATGGTAAGTACTATCATAAATAACTGCCATCAGGTCAGGTTTATTTAAGTACAACCTTTTCTAGTGTGTTCTTGAGGAAATAAATATTTAAACATATTTCCTAATGGACCCACAAGCTCTTTGCTAAATGTCATCGTTGTCTCCTCTCTTTTATACTTTCCACTCCATTTGTGTGCATTATCTGATTGCCCCCCCCCCCCCCTCACCTAAGTACTGGACCAGCTCCAGACTGTACATCAGCTCCAGCAGGTGATCAGCATGATTACCAACAACCATCTTCTTCAGCTCCGTCCAAATCCGTTCTCCAGATATCGCTGCAAGGCCACGACTGTTTTCCCGGATGGCGTCCAGCGTCTTCGGGTCGTGGCGGTCGGGCTCCGGAGCCACCCTGCCGTAAAACCTGGGGGGGGAATACGAGACTGGAGGTTGAGGTTCTTGTACGTCAAACAAATACAAATGATGAATTTCTTCTTTCTTTCATTGGCTATTTCAGTTCAAAGTGAGATGAAGTAGAAATATAATAATAATGTATTACATTTTCCTTTTAAGGTGTTGGGAAAATACTGAATGTACTCTTCAAATGTCAGAGTAGCACATGATAACAAAGAGCATGTGAAGGACACTGTTCAGGAACTAGTTGTACCAAATGCCCTAACACAAGGTTAAAGGGAAATAAAGACATCCCACCTGAAATAGCGCAGTATTCTCAGGTAGTCCTCTTGGATTCTTTGTTCAGCGCTGCCAACAAAGCGGACTTTGCGCTCCTTCAGGTCTTCGTATCCTTTGAAATAGTCGTATAATGTGCCATCAAGCCCTGTGAGAGAGTAAAATAAAGACAACACATCATACATTTCTGACAAATGAAAGCTTTAGCGCAAGTTCAATAAGGAAGACCTAACAATGAGTCACTTACACGTAACTCTATGGCTCCCTTCCCCCCTCATTAAATACGAGGGCGTCACTCCTCAGCAGCCAATCGCTGCACATACTAAAATCCTTAAATACCTGCTCTTCCTCCCTGTCAGTTGTCATTGCAGATGATCACACGCAACCCGCCTCCACCCCTCTCGCCTCCCGTCTCCTCCAGGACAAAGCTAAACCTTCCTCCTTCAGACCGGTCCCACCTACTCATCACCACCACCAGTGTCTAGACCCCGGGGATTTCATCGGAGCGGTTCTTTCCCTCCTGAATGATTATCCTGCAAACCGGGGCCTAATCGCCAAACACCATTCCATTCTCCTGTTGTATTATCATGGCAATCATTTCATTCATATGACGTGTAACAATACATATGTATTCCTTACATCACGTCTCTCCGGTTTGAAGTATAATTAATCGTGATAAAATAGGTGACAATGTCTTGTGAAGTAAAACCAGACGCAGATACAAGTCCTTTAATTGAGTGGAAAACAAACACAAATACCTAGAAACATGGAGTTGATGGTGAGGTCTCTGCGCTCAGAGTCTTTCTGCCAGTCCGTGGTGAACTCCACCTCTGCGTGACGTCCATCCGTCTGAACATCCACCCGCAACGTGGTCACCTCGAAGTTCTCATTGTGTAGCTGTGAGCGAAACCGATAAACAAAACACCGATGATTAAAAAAGGCAAAATTAGAATGATGCCTGGAGACGTGTAAATATGGCCTCATTCTGGAGTCACTCTCTTAGATGAAGGTAAGCAGTATTTCAGACGGCAAGTGTCTAATGTGGAAAGGAAAACATATACAATGAGTAACCCAAACACATAGCTGATAATAGATGGAGAAAATTGATAGAATATTGCAAAAACTAAAATACAACTTTAATGCTCTTTCTTTAATGAAGGCCCAAACCCTGTTCTCCTTTCCTTCACTGGTTCCTTTCAGTTCTGCTTACCTGCTGATTGTGAGTCTGCACATGTTTGTACATATGTATATGAGGGGAATCGTGCAATTTAATTTATTATTTAATTATGTACATATTACCTATCATGTCTATTTTAAGTCCCATTTATTGTTTTTATTGTTTTTATAGTGTCTTGTTGTTGCGTGTTGGCACCTTGAGTTTATTGTAATTTCGTTGTACCTGTACAATGACAAAATTAAAGATCTATCTATCTATCTTAAACTGCACTGAAACTTTTATCCATGTATTTTTTCTTTTAATGTTTATTTTATTAGCTTTTCTTTTTAATGACTGTTTTTAAATGCCTTTTTCTTAATGTCTTTCATTTTTTGTAAAGCACTTTGAATTGCCTTGTGTTGAAAAGTGCTATATAAATAAACTTGCCTTGCCTATCTATCGATATGTATTCAAGTAAGTATGTATGCATATGAACATGGGTATAGCTGGGTATGCGTGTATGAATGGTTATTTATAAATGCAGCACTGTGCTCGACCTTCGATGAATATGAATAGAAGCGACTGGGAGACATGAGAACATATCTAGGTCCCCTCTCATATCATTGCTCTGTAATCAGCTTTACTTTCAATTTCAATACACTTTTTATTTCATTTTCGTTTTATTTTTTGATTCTTTGTTGTGATTTCCCTGTAAAACAAACCTGAGTTTGTATTCTGAGCGAATCGCATCAGCAAATGCTATGAGAACAGTGACTCTTCTATTTATCCAAAAACTGTTATATTATTAAAAGGTTAAGTAATCAGCAGCAACAGCATATAAAGTAATTCAATGTTGCTCCACATTTACCAGCTTGGATGAACACATAAATGCATCAATAGTCATAATCCAATCATTTAATACGTATGATTATGTAATGGGCTATTATGCACAATAAGTACTTTTAAGTTAAGCTAATGTTCTGCAAAAGTAAAGGACTTGGCAAATAGTTGAAGTAGTGTTTACAGCAGCTTGAAAGCAGAAATGGAACTAATTGAAAGCAGGACAGTTACATCCTGCGTGCCTCTTACTCTTGCTGTAATGGTCCCATGCTTCTCTCCTTTGTTGTTGATCATCCTGATGCCAGCTTTCTGGAACATTTGCTTCATCTCCTCTGGAGTTGCTGTGGTGGCAAAGTCCACATCGTCAGGCCGCTTCCCAGACAGCAGGTCCCGCACCGCGCCGCCAGCGATCCTCAGCTCATGCTGGTGCTTCCCAAACAACTCTGGAAACAACAAACACACACTTTAGGGAGACTTTACAGAGGATATGTGTCAGGGCACACAAACAATTGCACTAGCTTGAATTCAACTTGAAAGGCATAACCTGAGAAAACTCAAATGTTTTTGTTGTGTATATCCTGACTGCAGTTCTCACTTTGCCTATTAGTCTTATATGCCTATTGCTTTTTACTTAATATACGATTCTTGTTGCTTGCAGAACAGCTTTTGTAATGTTCTTCAGGCTTAACATTTGTATGAAGTTCTAGTTTACTAAACACATAATCATATTTGACCCATATTAGGGTGAAATGTTCAAACAAGGTGAGCACATCAGAAAATGTTGGCCTCTCCTGTGTCGATTTTGACTGTTTGCCTTTCATTTGTATCAGGCCTAGTAACATTGATTGAAAAGTTTATTAACAGCTTGTATATTGGGTACAGTACAGTACAGCTCAAAACATACAATTGTTAAGGGGATGCAGACCAGAGAAAGACTTTCGTCTTGTTTACATCAGGGTCCCCCATTTCCAATTCATCATATCATTTAAGACATATAAGACATATTTGACATACAGATGGCTTATTTACAATTTACCTTTTAGATTTCGTTCTAATACATCCTAACCGGACATTTAAGACATACCAAGTCTACAGATATACAGTTAGTAACAGAAAAAACCATATTTTTTTAATGAAGAGCAATACTCAAATCAGATGAATACAGTTCCACCAAAATACTATTATGTTTCATAAGTAATACTCTTCACAGAGACAGTATTTCGAATAAGTCTCGCACATGTCTTTATCTACACTACTGTACTGAGTTGTTAAAGCCACAGCTGCGCCCCGCCAACCGAGACCCACGCCCCCCTGAAAAAAAATTATAATTTATTTTATATATATACATATAGCACCAAATAGCAACATTGAACATGTGCTCTTTTATTAAATAAACTAAACGCTTTCATTTTAAGTTGTGAGGTTAGTGTTTTTGACCCTAAGAAACACTGATGCATTAATCAATAACAATAATCCACAGCTCCAGAGGATTTAAAAAATATATATCCCAGTGCCACCCCCCCCCCCAGCCCCCCCAAGCAGTAAACCTAGGGGAAACACTGCATATTATTGATCTAATATGTTCCTCTTTGAACCTTATTACTTGTTCTATTGTGAAAGTTCACTACCTAGCTTTACTGAAGACAAGAGCACTGTTTAGAGGTGTGTTTGTTGTCACATCTCACCTGCTAGTCCTTTCAGCCCCTCACTGAACAGAGACTTGAACTCACTGGTGTTCAGCTGCATGGTGAAGAGACTCCTCCAATAGAAAGCTGTTCTACCAATCACCCGAGGCTTCAATATCCTGCTCCACATCTGTACAAACAACAAATAAGTTATCAAGTGTTTGTTATTTAGAGCTTTTTGAGAGCTAGCTTACTGTTAGCTACATGTCATTGAAGTCACGCTGGCTGGCTGACTTGTAAAGCTGCTCAAACATCGCGAGAACATGAGAAACAACATGGCAATGTCAACGCTTCAAACATAACGTACACAACTGAGAGCCACTCATATATAAAGTGTTATTACCAGACAACGCTACTATCACTTTATGATATCCTTCTCTGACATCAACATGCAGCTAAGCAGGAAGTGTTTCGGTGGTTTCTGACCAATAGCGTGAGGTTTAATCACACCGACGAGAGCAGCTTGCTGTCCACAACTGATCGCGAGATTTCAGTTTGGTGGTTAAGTGACTTTATTTATGTAACTGGATAGACCCCTTGCTTTGTTGTTAACGATTATCTATTCTTTATTTGCAACATTCAATGTTATTGACAGAAAACAAGTGACTTAACGGTTTGGAAATGACTCTTGATTAATAAAGTGAACACAAAAAAAACACGCCAACGAGAGCAGCTTGCTGTCTACAACTTCTCGTGAGAGTTCAGTGTGTTGCTTTGGTGACTTCAAGGCTTGTGATGAAGTCCTGTCAGATCAGTACACGGAGCTGGCAGCAAATGGCTAAAGTGGAGGTGACTCCGCTCAGATCCTGGGAAGACTTCTTCCCCGGCTCGGAGAGGTTCTGCAAACCGGACGAGAAGGACCCGACGAGATGGGGCAACAGGGTGGTCAGCAACCTGCTTTACTATCAAACCAACTACATCGCTATAGCCCTGGTGGCTTTCATCTTTGTTGGGTAAATTACATAATATGCATACAGTAGTCGGTGATGTGCTTATTTGGTTGTTTGCAGCTAAATTCACTTTTCATAGTTGTTTTTGTCTCATGTGTATTGCTTTTTGTTGTTGTTGTTCTGTTAGTTTAAACTGCACTGTAGCCTACGTTAAAGGGATTAAGTAAACAGGTGCAGAAAGGAAAGTTTTGTGAAGAAGAGTTTTACAGTGGTGTACTCAAGTACGATTTTGAGTATTTCAATGTTTTGCTACTTTGTACTTCTACCCCACTACAATTCAGAGGTAAATAGTGTACTTTTACTCCACTACATATATTTAATACATTTAGTTACAGATGTAGTTTAATGATATGAAATATAATCAGCTCTTAAATCAGACTTTAGTTACACCTGGAGTAAATTCACAAGCTACCCTGCAGTATACAAAGTCATTACAACTAGCTGCACCTTTACCAGCTTTGAGAACACTTTCATGGTAAATTAAACAAAACATATCCTATATATTATTCTGAAATGGACCAATCTGCAGAATGAGTAGTTTTACTTTTGGCACTTTAAATATATGTTTATGCTAATACTGATCTACTTGTACTTGAGTAACATTTTGAATGCAGGACTTTTATTTGTAACAGAGTATTCCTACACTCTGGTACTTCTACTTTTACTGAAGTATAAGATCTGAATAATTGTTCCACTTCAGACCACAGACAGTTGGATTGAGTCCCTTAGGAGTGAATGGAAAATAATGTTTCAGCGATCATGTGATGCACTGTTACTGTCTGTATAAAACTGTCTTCTTTCTACCAAATTGAACAAGTTTTAACCAATGTGTCCTCTTATGTAGGATATAGGTAAGACTTTTTCATTGATATTACTATATAATGCAAAATGTATGTCATGAAGCACCTATTATGTAATAATGGGTACAGACTGCATTCAAGTTATTTATTTAGCACTTTTAAGATGCAAAAGTAACAGAAAGTAACCAAAATAAAACACAAAAAACAAACAAACAAAAATAATAGCAATACCAACCCCCTCCTAATAGAGCAACTCTTAACTTTGTAATTAACAAATACACTTTATACCAACAGAAGTCAACGAACACAGGACAGAATAAAGCATATATTTCAGTTAAAAGCCAATTTAAAAACAGTGGGTCTTGAGCATTGACTGTATATATAAGTGTCTTGAGTTGTCCCTTAAAAGTATGAACACTCCAGGGTTTCCCACACATAGACTATACTTGGGCGGGCCGCCCAGGTATATTAACGGCCGCCCAAGTATATTTCGCGACCCATTTAGTTTTTTGTTTTTTTTTAATATATATATATATTTTTTCGTCCGTGACCACGACGCCATCTGCGATCGATTAACTTGTAGACAATGATCCCTCGCTCCCTTGCTCTGATCTCGCCTCCTTCTGGCCTGTTAAGTGGCCTGTTAAGTGGCCTGTTAAGTGGCCTGCCTCACACAGGGTGACTGGCTGTCCACACATGGCCACTGTCATACAGATCATAAATCAAAGCCCTTGATTGGTCTCTGTGTGTCATTCAAGCTCGGGATAACCTCAGCTCAGGTGAGGTAAAGGACTCTCTGAGTGTTTAGATAGTTAACTTAGTCTAAGTTCTCAGTGGGTCTCAAACGGTGTGGTCACCATTTATGTAAACACATATTTCCATTTGAGAGGGTAGCGATTGGTCTAATGGATAGTGAGGTGGGCTGAAGATCGGAAGGCTGTGAGTTCAAATCCCGACAGGAACACCACCACTAGTGTGCCCTTGAGTAAGGCACTTAGCCCTTAGTTACTCCAGGGAGAATGTCCCTGTAATCGTCATTATAAGTCGCTTTGGATAAAAGCGTCAGCTAAATGAAATGTAATGTGATTAGTAAAATATGCATGAATAAATAAATAAAAAGTTAACTAGGTGAAAAAAGGTAAGATACACTTTTAAAACTTGTTGAGAGAAACTAGTCTTTGCTGCTGCCTCAAAGAGGAGCAGGGGGAGAGGAGGGAGACAGGAGAGGCTGATTCAGGAGCACAGACACACTCACAACTATAAATGAACCAAAACTAAATTAATAAACAAGTTTCAGTGTTTTTTTCATATTGGAAATGGTATGTTATTGGTTATGGCCTTGATTTTATGATTATTGAAATGTATACAGTTCTGTTAAATATAGGTGTTTCCATAGATGTTTCTCTTTATTTTCCCCTCAAAATGCACCAGATTGCTGCATTTAACTCCAAATAAAAAATAAAATCTTACCGGGGGGGCATGCCCCTGGACCCCCCTAGAGGATTTGAGGTCGACCCCCACTAAAAATCACATGGATAGGTTCCTAAATACATTAATAAATACATTAATTTTTTTAAATAGTAATCTATTTCCATATGTTCATGTGTGGGTAGTAGATTTAAACTATAGGGCTATCATTATGGACCCTGCCTGTACCTGTACCTGTTCGCTCTGCCATCGCGTGAAGGGTCTGCTAACAAGCGACCAACAGAAAGGTTAATGTTGTTGCACGTCACCTCAACCCCCCCCCGCTACCACCACCCCCCAAAGTATATTTCAGATCTGTGGGAAACACTGGCAGTTAATGGACCAGCACCAGAGGCATTCCCATACACACAGGCGTTGGAGCTGTTCTTCATGAAATCCCAGAAGGATGAAGTGCTCTGACAAACAGTGCCATCTTTGCGCAAAATGATTATACCGGAATGAAAAGTCAATAAATAATGTTGTTAAAACTTTTTTTTTTTTTTCGCGCACCCCCCTTGCCACCACCCCCCCCCCCCCTTGCCACCACCCGCCCAAGTATATTTCATATCTGTGGGAAACACTGCACTCTTTTGGAGCCCTCCCATAGTCCTGTGCCATAATAAATACAATCAAGTATAAGCAGCAGTTCTAACCTAGACTGCTGCACACTTCCTGAAGAACTAGTTTATTATCTAAGGAGGAAGACAGATTTACTCAGACCAGGAAACAAGTGGTTAAATCTCTCATCTGGGGAAATATCTTCTCATAGTTGGCACCACTTTGTTCCAACAACCAAAGCCTAATATACTAAGAATAGCCCCGTCATGGTCTGTCTGCTGACCTGTGTGTTGAATATTGGTGTTTTAGTCCTGAAGGCCTATAAGGTTTGTCTATCAGCGTTTGCAGAAGCACAGTGGTGGGAAAACAGCGCCTTAAACAGCTGAACCCCAGATTAGGGAGATCACACAGTATTGGATAATTTAGTAAATTCTGAGTCATCATCCTAAACAAAGATGGACTTTGACTGACACATTACATTTGTATTTTACACAGTAAAAACATAGAAAGCATGGTTCCCTTGTTGGCACATTCACTGTGTTTGTGTGGGTGTGTGTGAGATATGCGGAGGGTACAACTTGTATTGAATCGAGATTAAAATATAAAGTCACATGCAAAGAAGTACGATTGCTCAACTCAATTACAGACTCAGGAAAATGTTTTAAACACATACAGGAAGCAAATATTTAGCATGAATACAAGGGGCTAGCATTTCTATCAGGACTGGTGGAAAAGGCTAATGCTAAGCTAACCTTCTTTTTTGTTTATTTACACAGGGTTGCCAACTTTGGGTACCTGGCTGGAGTGAGATTTTGATATCATGGGTTTAATTACATATGCGCACGAAATGACTGCTATCGTGTCAGCAGCAGGACCTTAGCATATATATATATAGGATATACAATATATACAAATACACAATATTGGACACAGACTATAAAAGGCACAAAGTTTCATTCACTAATGAAAGTCAAACACATGTTTGTTTCCACTGTTTTATTGTGTGCCTGTCGCGATAAGCAATTAATTGACGTATCGTACGATAAATAAAAATGAACTCGATAAATTGGCATTTACATGAGGATGTGACTAGCAGTTTGAAAGGATGTACTTGAATTATTATTATATATTATCATTATGTCAGTGGTCTAAAATGGTCATACAACGGTGCCGACAATATTATCGTTTATCGCAATAATTTCCGGGAAAATGTATCCAACAAAATTAATTATCGTGAGAGGCCTATACATAAAACACACACACACAAACACATCTACAGACTTACTCCAAACTGCCAAATATATTAATTAACACACTCTCACTCTCATATACTCTTTGACTCTATTTTGGCCTAGTAGAACAATAAGCAGCAGACTTTTACTTTTTTATCATTTCTACTGGTTCTTAGATCTGAGCATGCGCAATACGGGTCGGCAGTTGCGAGAGAGTATTTTTGTTGGGTAATCTATGGTAGGGCTAACCCATACAGTGGTGGGGCTCATGTCAGTATTTGCAATGTAATTACATACACGCTCCCCTTGACAGTGAAACGCCACGCGTGAGGTTTAGATTATTTCCCTGTCTCAATCCAAATTGAACTGTATGAAATAAAAAGGCACATTTGTCTTGTAGTAAATAAAAAGGGCGACCTGGAGCCAATCCTGCAAATTTCTCCACA